AAATAAAGAAATAAAAACACAGCAAAAAACTGGGAAAGAGAACAGAGAAAATGTAATAAGAAACAAAAGAAGGCTGCCTAGTAGTCTTGACTACAACAAATATTCGATTAGAAATAAAGAAACTCGTTAAAGTCCGAAAAATATATCGAGCTTGTTGTTATAAGGGTAATTCGGCAGTAAGGTCTACTAGCAAAATAGCACCGTGAGAACAGCCTTTATTCAATATATCGATTACCCAGCATTTACCTTTTCATTTAATTGTTTTTCTGTATCATTCAATATTGTTGAAATTATCTACGGAATTTTAAAACTACAAATTCTCGCCCATCCCCGAAAGGAGGCATGTGCCATATTGTGTGAAAGCTCAAACAAACAAACAAACAAACAAACAAACAAACAAACAAACAAACAAACAAACAAACAAACAAACAAACAAACAAACAAACAAACAAACAAACAAAACTCTTCAGACGACAAATAAACAAAACTCTTCTTCAGGCTTGGCACCACTTAAGCGAAGCTGCTTTGATTTCTTTTTTGGTACCCCGTGATTATACTGAAGGTGTTTCTTGTAGTGCACCTATAGCATACTACTCTGAGTACATATGATGAAGAATGGCACGATAGACGTGCTGCGAGACAGATACAGAACGCCCACAAAACATATCGTAACGTTAAAAAAACTAAGGAAAAATCAAAGCTCATAGCATCCGTGAAGGGCGTAAGTTACCTGAATTATATAGAGTAAGCTTTTGTTCACGGTTGGAGAAACTTACTTGGCTGAAAAAGTGACTGCAAGCGAGCAGTATATAGAGCGCACACATGGCACTAAATAATGTAGTCCCCTCTATAAACTTATGTTGGGAGCTATAGGTTTTAGAAAGCTGTCTTCCAGACGAGGAGCTTTATGCAGGATCGGCCGAGTTTCGCCTGAGTTCGCGAAACTCGGAATCTTCCCGAGCTCTGGTGACACCCCCTTATGAACGAGCCGACAGTACGAAACAGACAAATCCACCTCTCAGCGCGCTGCGTTTCATAGGTTGCGATGGAACCATTCATCGCGTCAAGGACGGTTGAAGAAGTTGGGTGGTGTTTTTAATGAGAGACATCTTAATTCTTTCATTTGTTTGTCGTTCCACTGAGTGCACAAGTGCACCCAAGCAATAAATGTGTCAGAAATTTTTTGTGATGATAATGTTTAAAGGCACAGAACATTTAAATTTATTTTGAAGCTTTTAATGCCTGCACTAAGTCTGCTTTAGAATAATCAGCACGGCCTCTGTGATCAGCACCAGTCGAGTGTCTTACAACATCGCGACCGCAGCTAAATCCGAGGCCACGTGTGTAATGATCATGGTGAGCCTGTACATTATAGCGCGCTGCTAGGCCGGCGCGCGTCGCCTTTTTCGTTATTGCCCAAGCACCCGAACACGTGCGGCTGGCTAATGAGCTCTAGAAGCGAAGCCCCTTAAGCCGTTGGTCTGTCCCTCCTAGTTTGCTGTACGTGATCGCCTAGTTCGATGACTGACTCGGCAGGTTTGAACAGACAGACAGACAGACAGACAGACAGACAGACAGACAGACAGACAGACAGACAGACAGACAGACAGACAGACAGACAGACGGACGGACCGACGGACAGACCGACGGACAGACCGACAGACAGACAGACAGACAGACAGACAGACAGACAGACAGACAGACAGACAGACAGACAGACTCCACTACGGCGTCTCTCATAATCATATGGTGGTTTTGGGACGTTAAACCCCACATATCAATCAATCCGTGGATGTGCTACGATTGCTTTGGCTCGACGGTATGCTTCGCTAGTTTAGACATGATATGCTAGAACGCCAAGTCGTGGTAAGGCCAAGGTAATTAAATCACATCTTAAAAATACCTTGCTAATGAAGCCATGTAAAGCTAGAACCGGGGCTAACTAAGCCATGCAAGCTGATGAGCTGACTCAACAGTGCTAATTAACGCGACGTCACTCATGAGCACGCTAAGTAATACAATGCTGATTAGCATTCATTAATATGATGACAATTACTGTCCTGCTAATCAGGACTACGTTTATTAGCCCCATGCTCATCATGACCATGCTGATTGCGCCCAAGATAATTGGCTTTCAAGTGAAGCCTTACTAATGAAGACAAGACGGCTCAATGTAATGATCGTTAAGCCTCAGCCAATTAGTACAATAAAATAATACAGAGCTGATGACTTCACTTTAAAGCCGACCACGCATATTTGTAGACGACATACGTAAAAAGCTGCAAAAAGCTAGGATATCACTAGCTTCTCTATGGCTCCAGCCTTGCGCAAGTAGTGTAAGCGCACCAAATTTTCTTATACGCAAAGAGGCTGCCGCTTGCGTTCACCACATTTAACGCTTGAGAATCCGACCGGCACCATCACAGTTACGAATGGAACTCGGGCCTTCTCGGAATCAACGAGTTTGTATTCGAGTTCACGCGTCAATCAGTTTGATTGACAGACGCCCGTGGCGAAGATCGGGTGCGGCCACCACGTTTGCTTTTGCCGAGGAGCAGTACTCACGTCGAGCGGCACGATTAATCTATCAGCTTTATCGCGAAGACTGCACACACGCACACACGCAGAAGTAGAAGTGATATCACCACGCAGCCGCGATGTCTCGCATTCAATTTGACCACGCTCACGACGTATCTAATCACAGCCGCGTTGCCGCCATGATGCGCGCGCCCCGGGTGATCATAGAGTTTCCCAATATACACTAGAAGGAACTCTGGCGCTAGTGTCCATGGGAGCTGCAATGCAAGGCGCTTCAGTGAGCATGGGAATGATGGGTAGTACACACATTTGTCTAAACTTCGTACTTCTGGCCTGCTTTTGGCTCCGTGTGTGTTCGTGTGGCTTGAAGTGTTTTCTCACGAAACAAAAATCGGCAAATGTTCAGCGATTGCGCTTCACCACCCTATTTTTTTTCTAATGACCTTTCAAATTGGGTCACGAAGTTTAAAAGGGTTGAATATTTCTTTCAAAACAAAATCGAAACACAGCAATAAACGCAGCCGCAAGTACGATTCGCCGCCTGCAAGTACGAAGACTAGCCAAATGTGTGTACTACCCATCATTCCCATGGTCGTTGAACGATCGCAGCGCCAGAGTGCCCTCTAGTTAATTTTGAGAAACTTTATGCTAGTGACCACTTTCCTCATATATATCTGCAACATTTATAGAAGTCACACGAACAGCACGAGAGTGCTGTGTGTGCACCCTTGCTGCCTTCGAGAGCGGAAATTTCCATGCTGCTGGTGGAACGATAGAGCCTGTCGGACAGAAGACAAACGCCCACGAACATACCTGTGGGAGGTGCGTGTTGAGTTGGCAAAAAGATAGCGCGACAATTACGCTGACGTCGCTGCACCATTAAAATGTTGACTGAGTGGCGACGCTGACGTGTTCCCACGTGGTGTTTCTTTGATAACCGCCGCATATGTCCCTCATGCGATGTCAACGTCATGCTTGTTCCTGTAGCCATTCTTATCAACGCTGCTATCCTGCGCTCCGCACTGTCTTCATGCCATGGCCACCACGAGGGAGCCCGGAGTGAACTCGTCTGACCAAGAAGCTAGGGGCATCCTGCATAGCACCCGAGTCTTGCAATAGAAGCTTCGCTGTAGGAGCAGCATCGATACCACTATGTTTCCGATACTCTAGTAACTAAAATGAGTAGTGAAAGAGAACGGGTTTTTGTTGTTGCGAATGAAGTAGTATTTTATTGTTTAACTCTAAGTTCTTCGGGCAAGGAAAATAGGGCTTGATGGTTTGTGGGTGAGCTTTGGACGGACGAGTGACGACGGGTGTGGTGCTGGAATGCCTTGCGGAGATGCAGCTGTTGCTTTCGAGTGGATGTTGCCGGGGACGGAATGCTTGGTCAGGAATGCGTGATGGCCCTTGTTCTCGGGAAGGGTTTCTGGAAAACGGTGAAATTATACGTGTAAAGCTTATATTTTGTTGACGAATAAAGCAACATATAGAGTTATGTCAGTTTCGAAAGGGACGTGCCGGGGTGCGTGCACATGTGGCAGTTTACTCGATGTTCCTCCCAAATTGGACCCTGCACGTACAGATGAAATAAACGGGTATCGACATCCCCACCACGAACTTGGTTGTAACAACTTCAACGCCGTGCGTAAGGGCAAACAGGCACGAAGAGGCCAAAAAAGAAAACACACATTGCTTTTGTGCCTTCCGCGTGTCCTTTGGTGCTACATCAGAGCTGTGCCAAAGTTCCACGAATAAGCCCACACTCAGGCAACTTCCGCAGGTCATTTAGGAAGCCGCTTCATGACTGTACGATTGATTCCGGGTTATAACCAGGTTGGCTTAACGCTGCAACGTAGGTTTACAAGTGCAGAAACATTATGTGTCATCTCGCGGACTTGCGATTTTTGCTCTTTGCGCCTTAGATACACGCGCATCTAGTTATGAACAGGCAACTGTGCGCGTGTACCTGGTCGTTGCGCAGGAGATCACCCATGCTTTATCGGGGGATATGATGGAAAGTAGATATGGTAACAACAGAGCGGGCTTGTGCCTTAAACTGGCCCTTCGGGACATCTGGAAGTACTTTGTATGATTTCGCGATTTCGATGAAGTCAGATGGGCCGAGTTTAGGTACCTGAATCGCGCTGAGCAAATGACTAAAAGGTGGAAGGCGGCAATTATGACTTACTTTAACAAAGAAGTTTTCTCTCTAGTCTGGAATTAAAGGATTGACGTCATTTGAGCGAGAAAAAGGAAGCACTACTGCTATTGCAACAAAAAACGTACGCAATCTGACCAATGAATTGCAGGAGGCGCAGTTCGACTAAAATTGATGAATCCTCATCAGGCCATCGACGTTCTCAATTTCAACTCTTCTATGCGGTTGCTTCGGTCGCCATTAGATTCATATTTGTTTGTATATATCGCCGTATGGGACGGCTGTATACTGCTCTCTCTCTTGGTTACTTACACTTTTTGAGGACTGGAACATATTGGTAACCTCCGACTCCGTAGCCGTAGCTAAGGCCGTATGGAGACACTCCGTAGCCGTAGTAGGTCGGGTGGTATGTTGGGTAGGTGACCTCTTTGGCGGCGGCGGGTACGGCCACCGTGGAGTGCACGGGAGTAGTGGTGTAGGTCTTGGGCACAGACACCGGCACCGCAGGCTGGGTCTCGTAGGTATCGGTCACCTCCTTGGCCTCAACCTCAGGGGTCCGCACGACGTACTTGACCGGGACGGACACGGCGTGGTGCACGGGAGTGGTGGTGTAGGTCTTGGGCACAGACACCGGCACCGCAGGCTCAGTTTCGTAGGTATCGGTCACCTCCTTAGGCTCAACAGCGGGGGTCTGCACGACGTACTTGACCGGGACTGACACGGTGTGGTACACGGGAACATGGTAGACAGGAGCACTGTACACACCGTACGTCGGAGCGTAGGCGCCGTAGGTGCTGTGCGCCCCGACGTGTCGGCCACCATAGTGGTAGCCGAGACCACCATAGGGCGTCACGTCATGGACACCATAGGCGGCGCAGGCAAGAGCCAGAAGGATGCAGGCATGGAACTGCGTGGTTGTTTCATGTCAGTGGCAATGGACAGTTACACGTGGGCAAGTAGAAATAGAAATACTATGCGGTGGCACTGCGTACTGCATCCTCGACTGAAAGAGTGCGTCACTTCTTTTAGCAGTCATGTTCGGCCTTAATATAGACAGCACAATTTTTTGAAGAATATAAAAAAAAGAAACCCGTTCATGTGGTTCACATTTGAGACTATGTGTTTGTGCAGCAGCAGGCACACATTTTCGGTAATTGTGCTGTCAAATACGACGAAATGTGGGATTGGATAGTTAACTCCGGGTAAAAATCACGCGCCTATGCTACCTTAACTTTGCTAGTGTAACTGGGCGCAATGTAGCCAGTACAGCATCAAAAAGGTTAAACATGTGAACTGTTGTCGTGAAGGAAGATGTCGTATACGACTTTGCGAGATATGCGAATAAGGGAACATGATTGATATGTGGGGTATAACGTCCTAAAGTATAAGGGAATAGATTGATGAGGATCTGTTGCAGATCTGTTAATGATTGCTTGAAGAGTGAAAGGTCGTTAATCTGGAAACGCTGGCACTATTTTCTGAGAGGCTAGCGCTAATGAGAAAGGGAGAGAGAGAAGTTACATTTATTGGCACTAGTCAAGACCTGATGAAGAAAGTCGTTTTCGATCCGAAAACCACTTGACAGAGGGTCACGTGACTAAAATCACCTATACCAGGTAGTCGCGAGAAATATTGTGTAGCCAAGTCTAGCAACACGTAGTACTATATACTAGCAAAAAGAATCCTTAGCAAAAGCTTGCCATTACTAGGAAAACTTAGATGAGTTGAACGCTAGGGCCGCTGATTATTCCATCCTTGTGCCACTTGCGCAAGCTTGCAGGCTGTCGTATGCTGCCATCGTTGCTTGTCGTAACGCTAAACACGCTAAACACGCTAAACACGCACACACTCAGTGTTTGTGGGGTCTGCTTGTGAAAAATGAAACAGCAATAGTTAGACTGCCTGGCACTTTCAGTCCATGTTTGTGTGCAAGCAGGCCCGAAATGCAATGAAGTAGAGAAACGCCGGTTTGTGCAAGACAGGCGTCAACGAGCAATGGAGGTTATCGTCTGCACCATGTAGAGAATAATTATGAGCACGTCGTGTTTTGAAAGCTACGCGGACATAGACGAAATTGTGTTCAGCGAAGCCTGACTGGGAACTTGTACTCGTTCGAGCTCCTGCAGCTATAGAAAAAGCGAAAGAGCGCAAAGAGCATAACTCCATACTCACTCCAGTCATGATGAGCTGTTCGTACAGCAGCGGATCTGTGATCGGAACTGAGGGTGGTCAGTGTGGGCCACTAGACCACCTTATATACGAAACCCCCGGATGAAGCCAGAGGGCCCGGGCAGTCCGAAAACTCGTTGAGTCACTTCGTGCCCAACCTAACTGTGGGCCGGTTGTCCGCCGGCTTCCTTCTAAGCTATTGGTACACAAAAACACAATAACACTTTAAAAAATTCAGGTGAATCAACCTGAAGTATCGATCAAGCAAGCTGTCTATTGATGAACACTGCGGTCGCACATGTCCAAGGAGTGAGCGAGAGAGTGGATGTGCGCGAGCTCGTCCCCCGTGGTGTGTTCCGGAGATCACGTACTCTGAAAAATGCGTAGCCATTACGCATACTTGCAAAGAGCAATGCTGAAGGAATGTGGGCGATTGAATTAGTATGCACCAAGCGCATACGCTTATAGCTGCGGCTGGATGAAGATGCTGATAAAGACCGGTGAGAAATCGGCCGAAAGTGATGCAGCACTGGGCAACGTATATAAACCAGAGTTTTTTTTTCTATTCTGGGTAGCCCTTAACGCACTTTATTTCGTAAAACTTTCTGGCGTTGTCGTCGCTCGCAGTGTTGCTATATTTAGCCTTCTCAGCCCGTCAATGGTGTGTATTTGTAAGCTTTTTTTTTCATGCTCAGTTATTTTACCGAGTACCTTCATTAAGCGCCACTTTTACTGGAACCGGTGGCTAGGAGTGCTACAAATTATTTACACTACTGTGTGCCATGAAACTCACCAGTCGTCCTGAAGGTGACGCTGAAAGAAAATAAAGGCACTTTTGCAAACGTCGACCGTCACCACAAGCAACGCCCTGCCGTCCAGCTGTCTGGTTCTCCTGATAGCATCTTAGCTCATGCGGCAAATCCTTTCTCACGCTTCAGCCATCTTGCAGTGCTTCCACGTTGTAGTCAATGAACCCTACAGTGCAACCGAGATTTGCGTCCATAAAGGGTACCGCGTACGGCAGATATCTTGCATTACGCTTTCGTCTAGACCCATATATAAAAGCCCGTCAGTTGCTCTGGATAGACTGTCTGTGTCAGTGACTTTCCACGAACTTGCATAGGCCGTAAAGGGTGAAAGAAGAGTTGAAGGGGAAGGGTTGAGCGTGTTCGGGTGGCTCTGGGGTGGATGCCAGTGTTTTTTATAAGATGCAAATTCATCGAGTCCGGCTCTTCGCAGCACGGGCCTGTTGAGCCAGCTGATGTCGGGTCATCGCCGGGTGTCGAGGACGACATGCGATGGCGCTCTTGCCATGCTACCTTGGAGTCGTTTATCTTGATTGGGCTCTCGTGGTTCAGTAGACGGACGCGCTTAGAACTGAGCTGTGAACCCCAGTGTTGCACCACAGTGCGTGTTTAATCTATTAATAGAGAAGTAAGTGCCTGCACTGTCTCAAATCTTGTCGTTGCAATATTTTTTTTTTGCATAACGGGGTTACTAGTAATTGATTCGTCGGCATTGTCTTGACTGGTTACCACTGAAGATTGCAGCCCTGAGCTGTTGCCTCCGACTGCAAGAACAGGTGTCTTGATTTCAATCCATAAACCAGAGTGTAATTATTTTCTGTACTATGTTGTATAGAATTTATCACCAATATGCCCTTCGACACGTGAGACATCGACTTCCTTTTAGTTTGTTGACATAATGTTTACTGTCAAGCTGACGTAAACATGAATTCACTCTTCGTGCGAGACGTATTGTATTCGACCTGTTTCTCTTGCAACTCTGTGTTATTGTATTTTTTAAATGTATACTCATTGGATGCGTGCCGAAATTCTTTCGTCTATATTGCAACTGTGTTGCCGTGAGGGAGTCCAACAACATTGCAATAATATATGAAACAAACTTTTCTTCTGGCTGACTTTTCAGTAATCGCGAAGCATTTCTTAACAAACTTCGGTGAATTTGAGCGTATCTATCTATCTATCTATCTATCTATCTATCTATCTATCTATCTATCTATCTATCTATCTATCTATCTATCTATCTATCTATCTATCTATCTATCTATCTATCTATCTATCTATCTATCTATCTATCTATCTATCTATCTATCTATCTATCTATCTATCTATCTATCTATCTATCTATCTATCTATCTATCTATCTATCTATCTATCTATCTATCTATCTATCTATCTATCTATCTATCTATCTATCTATCTATCTATCTATCTATCTATCTATCTATCTATCTATCTATCTATCTATCTATCTATCTATCTATCTATCTATCTATCTATCTATCTATCTATCTAATCTGGCCGCCTATGGCTTTTAGCTCTCCAGGCCGTTTCGATAATGGTATAAATATCAAACTTGATGTGGTATAACATGACTGTATGAAGAACATATTTGACTAGTCATAACATGAAAATCATGATACATATGCCATGAATGTCATGATATACATTTCATGGTCCTGCAGCTCTTGCGAAGGTTTCGTTAACATGGCAGGTTGCAAAACTGGATATATGTTTGCTTGGCGAACACAAGCGACCGACCCTAACGTGAAGATCATGACATGCGAGTCACGAAACAACATGACTACATGCTACGCTCATGATACGCTCGTGGGCGTTTCGCTAGCGTCACATATACCAAATTTGGTAGTACGGTACGTGAATGCATGACGAAAGTATGTGGTTGGTGCAAACATTATAATCATAAGATGCCGTGTCATGTGATGCCGTGACATGACTACATGTCACGCTCATGATGCGCTGGTGGCCGTTCTGCTAGCTTCACTCATGCTAAATTTGATATTACGGGACGTGAATGTATGACGAAGGTATGATACTGGTGCAAACATGATAAACACGAGATGCGTGTCATCTAACAACATGACTACATGTTACGCTCATGATGCGCTCGTGGCCGTATCGCTAGCTTCACATGTACCAAACTCAGTAATACGCGACGCGAATGAACGCCATAGGTAAATGACACACCCAAACATGATAATCATGACATGCGTGTCATGTAACAACATGACTACAAGCCACACAAATGATGCACTCGCGCCCGTTTTGCTAGCTTCACATATGCCAAATTTGATATTACGTGACGTCAACGTATGAAGAAGGTGTGTGACTGGTGCAAACATGATAATCATGAGGTGCGTGTCCTGTGAGAACATGACTTCATGCCACAGTCAAGGCGCCCCTACATTTCGACGTGACGCGGTGCGCGTGCTCGCCGGCGTTCATTTCATTGCGTCATGCCAGCGTGGCCACGCCAGGCGCCGGTCCTGCCATATACTTGCAGGCGCACGCCGCACTGCGTTGCTTTGACGCATGCGCGTTTCAGCGCGTCCGGCATTCCTCCGTCCCGAAAAAAGGAAGACGCAGTGTTGTCTGGGCAACACATTGGCACGAAATGCAGCATGTCGCATTTCATGCCGGTTGCCGTCGGGCCGCGCCTGGCGGCAGACCTTTGAGTGCTCGCCTTTTGATAAAGTACCGTCGCTTTGGCCAGCATGCGCGCGCGTCAACGCTACATTGGAGTATATTGAGCCCTTCATGATGCGCCCGAGGCCATTTTTCTAGCTCCACATATACCAAATTTTGTGTTACGGGACGTCAATGGATGACGAAATATATCACTGGTGCAAACATGGTAATCCTGACACGCGTGTTATGTAAGGACATGACTACATAGCACGCTCATAGCGTGCTCGTGGGCGTTTCGCTAGCTCCACATATACTAAGTTGGGTATCACGTGACTTGAATAGATGACAAAGGTAAACGACACATCCAAACATAATAGTCATGACCCGGAAGTCGTGTTTGGCATCATTTACCTCTGCCTCATAACGTTGTGCTGATTTTAAAGCGACATATCAACCTTTCTCATTCGTGCTTCGCATATCATCGATTCCCACTGTACGTGGGATTTGCCATTTTTTTGTATTGATAAATTAATGACTTCGACGAAATATGGTCTCATAAACATCCGAGCTTCTATTGTTGCGTGTCCCTTTCATGCATGGTGATTTGATTCAATGACACTTGTAGCCGGAAGCAACTGAAGACGTGCTCCAGTCTAACTTATTAGAGAGTAAATAAGGCTCACCGGTTATCAATAGCGTTAGTTCCTAATTTGCCCTCAGTCAACATAAAGCGCTCGATAGTTTAACGGCGAAGCTCCTCTTAGTATAACCTTGTCCTGCGTCAGGCGTGATCGACAGAAGAAGAAAATGAGAAAAAAGAAGAAAAGCGCTGTCTTCCGAACAGTATAATAGATGACGCTGTCTCATAGAAGTACATGCAAGCTGAGTTGAGTGAGGATATTCTAGATGCGCTGTACCACTACTCTCCGATTGCCTGCGGCGCAGGCTGTGCCTGGGTGTGCGGGGAAAGAGTGCTTCTGTCAGTCTCCTGGATCGTCGCCGTACGTGGCGGATTGTTGGCGGGACATGGACAAAGCGGAGCGGTGGGCGTGGAGCGCCACGGAGGTTCGTGCTCGTCGCCAGACAGACAAAACTATTGATGATTTGATTGATATGTGGGGGTTAACGTCCCAAAACCACCGTATGATTATGAGAGACGCCGTAGTGGAGGGCTCCGGAAATTTCGACCATCTGGGGTTCTTTAACGTGCACCCAAATCTGAGCACACGGGCCTACAACATTTCCGCCTCCATCGGAAATGCAGCCGCCGCAGCCGGGATTCGAACCCGCGACCTGCGGGTCAGCAGCCGAGTATCTTAGCCACTAGACCACCGCGGCGGGGCCAAAACTATTGACAGACAGACAGACAGACAGACAGACAGACAGACAGACAGACAGACAGACAGACAGACAGACAGACAGACAGATAGATAGATAGATAGATAGATAGATAGATAGATAGATAGTCAATCGGACGGGCACATGGACGCATGCATGCACACATGGACGTATGCACACATGGACGGACAGATGGACGCGTGCATGGATGATGGACGCACGCATGGATGGATGCTTCCCCCCACTCAT